CCCCCCCCCACAGGGCAGTGCTACTGACTGAAGTTGTCTTTAGGCCATTCCCAAAGAGGGGATATTAACATGTTCTTAAGCACAGTAGAATTGTAAATGGGCTGATTTATCAATGGCATGCTCATATTGTGCCGGAACAACATAGGGGGAATTGCTGCTTTTTCTTTCCTCATCCTTACTATCTTCATTGTTCCTCTACTTCTTTAGAATGTTTGTCACTCTGTTGTAAACGGCAATTTCCGGGGTGCCTCGATAGTCGAAGCAGACTTTATGCTGTTGAGGCTAGAGAGGTGAGCAGAGTAAGCCTGATTCCCTGTTTGAACTTCTCTGTTGATATCCACCCCTTAGCTCTTATATGACCTTATGCAGTTGCGAGCGCCATAAAATGGTAAAACTTTACTAAAACTTTAAAAAAGAAATGTTCTCCGTACATGGGAATCAAATTCCGGCCTTCTGCGTATGGCGGCGGATTGCCTCACCGCTACACCTCAGGCGCTGGTTATTTATTGTTGCGGCCCAAAATTAACAAATTATCACAACGAGCGATGTAACAGTTTTGAACGTCAACCACAGTGTTATTTTTTTATCTACCACTTATGTAATTTAACCCACTTTCATTGTTTTGTTGGGGTTTTTTTTTTCTTCTGCCAATAGACCATACTACTTAAGAGAAGGAAAGCCGGGGAACGAGAGGAAGAGAATGAAAAGAGAAGAACTTGCATTATGCTCTCAGGGTTAAGTGGCTATTTTTTCCCCTCAAACTACACAAGGTCAGTCGAGTGCTGTCTTGTTGTGACCCAATTGTTCTTTTTATGGGTTTTTTTGTAACAAGTGTCTAAACTGTTGACAATTTTCTCTCGTGAGCCCGAATTTATCACCGCTAACGCCCGTGTTCCGTAGAATTTCAGTTCCGTTTTATAGAAACTCCTGTTTTCTGTTTTCACGTGGACCCCAACACTTGCAATTATGATTTAACTCAAACCAAGAGAAATGGAATACGTTCAAGATTACGCTAAACCGTAGATATATTCAGTTGTAATATCTTAGACCGCGCATTGTCATGGCCGCCACTCTTTGCTCTCTTTAAAAACTGCTGCGCCGGGAAGCACCATAGGCACACTCACATTAATGAAGGTCAAAACACACGTCTCGCTATAGTCGAGTGCGCAAGTAACCTTTTCCACCTCACAGTCTTTTGGTTCGAGGTAGAGTCAAATGGTGCGCTTTCCTGTGAACAGGAATTGCGTCAGAGTGCATTGTCTTGGATAATAATATTATAACACAAGCCCATGCACAAAGCTCGCTATTGTCGTGAGAAAGGAATAAAAGTGTGCAAAGGTTAATAGGGTGAATGAGATAGTGAGTGTGGCTGGATGGCTTTGCCTGGACGTAGCCCAGATTACAATGTGGGCGTGTCTTCTGAGGGAGTTTTTTTTTTTTTTACCCAAATGTGTATGTGGCTTTGAGGAAGTGGCACCTCATGATTTACGCCTTATTTTGAGCTCAGTGGAAGTCTCGTTTATTTCTTTGTTTGTTTGTTTGCTTGTTTGTTTGTTCATTGGTTGGTTAGTTTGCTTTTGTTTCCTGTTATTTTGCATTATTTTTGGGGGGTTTTGTTTTTGTTTTGATTTTTTTTTT